TGAGAAGTTTAAGTATTCCCTCCAAAAGTAAATGATTGAAGAAGAAAATGTGAAAAACAAGTCTGTATAGTATTGGTATTGTCGACTTCAAAGTAACAAGATATAACATATGTATCAGATTCATAATTTTGCAATAGCGATTTAACGGCGTGGGCATTAATAGGTTAACACTCTATAACGCCGTGTAACTAAGAAATAAGGAGGGACAGGAGGTGGAAAATGCTCCCCTAGAGGGAAAAAGTAGCCTTTGCTCTACCTTAGAGGAAGAAAAATTGGATTTCGCCTACCCTGTCCCTCCCATGGAGAAGAAAAATAATATTATAAAATTTACCTTAAGATAAAAGGCATAAAACATGTATAACTACAAAAAATATTCTCATCGAATGTTACGTCACGTATTGTAATTCAAATAATGGTATTCAGTAATTTCAAATAATGGTGTATCAGAAATTCGTTTAGCTTTTGTTATGCAAAATCGTGTTTGTCACAAATCTGTGGCGTGTAGTAGCGAACTATAAACAATAGATTGTGTTGTTTCTTTTATTTTCTTTATTTCTGTAAGAGCCAAATATTTTTCAACAGTGTTATACATATGTAAAAGGACCAAATCTTCTTAGTCCTCAAGGTTATGTTTAAGAAAATAAGAGATTTTATTTTCTAAAATTACATCTCTGCAATATCTAGTCAGAGTAAACATTGTATACATAATATCGTGTATTTTTTAACCGATTTTGTAACATTTCATTCTTATTTTAATCAGTTTTACAGCCAAAAAGATGCTCGTTGCTATATACTGCTGACCGGAATTGTATAATTTCAATTTTTGATTACCTCGATCGAACTTAATTGGATGTCTCAGCTACGCACGTAATTATTGCGTAATTTAATCACGATATCACGTTTCACCTGAGATCAGCGGTACTCCCCGTTTTCGGCCAAAAATTCCACGCGCAATCGCTGATCGATGCGAAATTTTACAATTTTAAAGCGTTTATATTTCGGTTAGTCCCAATTGGAGATCGTTGAATATATTTACGCATTTTATATTATGTATACCGTTAGCTGCAGAACAGACGCCATTTTGATTTGTAGGAACTTCCAGATGCCATTACGGAACCACATTAAATAGTGTCTATAAATTTTATTACGTATCGTTAATCAATGTGCACATCATAAAATGATCTCTCGAGAGTAATGACTCGCTTCCTATATCGTAACTTAATTTCCCTCTTCGGTCATTCGTAAGTACATATATATAAATATTGATACATCAATAGAATAAATTGCGCTTTGCGGAAATAATATTATAAATAGAATTTATTTCGTCATCTCGACGTTCGCCACGCGAAAACCTACGTTTCCAGGCGGGAAATAATTCTCACATGTTTTCACTTCGGAACGTGTTTCCGCGAAGAACGAAACGAAGAATTCTCGTATCGCGTGCTCGCTTGGTACGGCGATACTGTTGTTACGCAACCGAAAGATTACAATGTTTTTTCGTTTTGCTTTTCCGCGGCTTCGTTCTTTGCGAATTAAAGAATAAAGAGGAGGAGGATGATGAAAACAATGGAAACACAATTCGCTCGGAAAATACGTGCATGCTCAAGTTTCCCGCGTTAATCGGGAATGTGGTGGGTTCGATACTGTATCGATACCATCGGTACTTGATGGTTTTGTATATATAACTGTAAATTTTGGTCTGGTATCGTGTAATATTAAAGACACGGGTATCGAAAAGAATCGATACCCCTTCGATACTTCTACGAAACTATCGATTTGATATTTCTACGAAAGTATCGATTTGATATTTCTACGAAAGTATCAATACACGTTTGATATTTTACGGATGAATCAATACAAGTTTAATATTTCTCGAAAATATCGATACCAATACTATAGCAACCGAATTCGGAATATTTGTATTCATAAGGTACTTGAAAAATTTGATTCTGCTCTTCATGGTGTCGATACCTCTGCTTTGTTATTATACAATCGGTATCGATTGATATTGTTCCAAGTGGCAGCGATATTTAAAATTGATACCGAGTATTCTAAATTTTGATACCTTTCGATACTTCCCACTGACACGAGTACTTAGGTATCGAATTATTCGAGTATCATCGATATGTATCGTATCAGTCCCATCGCTAGCTCCTGACCAATAGCCTCCCCCGCGACCACTCGATCTTGACGTACGATCGTAACGAAACCAAGGTTTACTGTATTTATGCTTCTCGACACGGCTATTGAGCTACTACCGCGATTTAATCGTTGTAAAATATGATTACGGTTTCTGCATAAATTTTGCATCGTCTATCGAGCTTGTGTTCTTTGCAACATTGTCTAGCAATTGCGAAGCGTTAACTCCTTCAGGTATCGCACAAGTGGAAACAAAAGAATACATTCTAGGTCGAAGAAATGCGTTCGTTAACGTGCGCTTAGAGAGATACGTCTTTTTTTTGTCGAATATTTTGAAACGAAAAGAAGCGATTCCACTTTTCTACTCTCGACGCAGTCGACATCGTACCTAGATGTTTCAGAATGCAATTTTTTTTTCATACAGCATTATATTGTTTTCACCGGAACGTCGAAGGTGAAACGTGCAATTGTTGGAATGTCTTTCACGAGAATATTTTCTCTACAAAGATAAATAATTCATTCAGAGATTCTACCTTTTTTGTTTATTTATTACTTTATTTATGTCTTTAACAATTTTGTCACTCTTCCTTAACATTTTACGACGTTTAGCAAAGAAATAACAACTTTGCATTATATCATATGTTTAAGAAATGTATAGTATAATCAGATATGTAGATATAGTATAACAAGACTCTTTTTATTCGATAAAAAATCAAGATCACCTGAAATTAGTTGATAGAACTTTATATTCTTTTATATACAGTTAATTCAGAAGTTACAATTTTTGTCTCGAACGCCCATGTACATTGGACCAGACCTGGGCACTTCTGAAATGATATTATTTGAAATAATATTTCATCAAAATGTTGTTTTATTTTTCAATCATTTGAAATAATTCTTAGAAATAATTGTGAAATTATTCTTCGAAATTATATCAGATGACTAGGTCTAATTGTAAGTTTGGTTTACTGACATTTTTCTGAAGAATAACACCACTATTCCATCTTCCACACCAGTGGAACGATTATTTCCTTTCGCGCCAATATTGCCTCAGCCCAATTCTCTCATGGCTGAGCTTTTTGAAGAGCGGGTTCAACTTAAATCCAATCGCTGTAAAGATTTCTTAAAATCAACACTTCCTGTCCCATATTTTGAGTATTATGTCTTGGCGCAATTGAAATACAAACAATAACAAAATAATTCAGTATCTGCAATTGCTATTATTACAAATGAATCGATAATATTTTTATCGTCAAATAACAGTATTGAAAATAAAGTTCCGAAATAAATTATTTCAAATAGTTCTTTATTTTCGTTACAAATAAAATTTGCCCAGATCTGCATTGGACAAATTGTGCGTCATCACGATAACAACCGTTTCAGCCGCGACATGTTTTCGGAACGTTGTCCCATTAATGATCGGGCCGGTTCAATATTCCACGAGTCCGGTGAAATTAGTCGTCCAGACGAGATTTCCTGCCTCGTACCCACTGTCCGTTTACAAAACGTCGGAGGAAAGCAGTTTGAGGAGCGCTGCCAATGAAATCAGAAGATTCGTGAAAGGAGAATGAGCGGCAGGGGGGAAGAGAGAGGGGGCACGGACGGGGGAAGAGCAGGCATTGTGCGCCCGGTCACGCATTCCCATCGATTACATCGACGACAAACGAATTTACAAGCGCAACTGGAACGTGCCTCGCGAACGCTTCAATAAGGCCTTTCCAAATAAAAGAAAGGATTCCCCTTAACTCGCGATTCGTGACGAGGTCTTCGCGCGAACCGTCATACCAATGAACGGGCCTCGTTACATCGAAGCCGTTCACCTGATTTTTTGTTAATTGTTCTTGCGTTAATGAGCATTATTTTCGGTGACTTGGACGATTTTAATCTGTGGTGGACACACTTTTGTCCGGTCTGGGCGTGATATTGAAAGGAATCTCTTTAGTAGCAGGAATATTGGGATATCTATTACCCAAAAGAACTTATGTTATTAGCAGCCATGTGTAATTCTGTTGTTATCCATTATTTTCGATAAGTTTGTCTTTGTACACGATGAAAATTACTTTCTGTAACTAGGATGATTTTAATCTTTGGTGGACTCACTCTTGTCCGGTCTGGGCGTGATACTGGAAGAAAATTGTTTACTGGTAGGAATATTGGAATCTCTATTACCCAAAAGAACCGATCGTGTCATTAGGAGCCGTGTGTATATCTTTTGTTATCAAAATTATTAACAAAAGAATTTATGCTTCAACATTTTAAATAGTAAGTCATACGACAGCTGATTTAATTACAAAAGGAATACCACAAGATTATTTAAAATCAGTTAATAACTTTTTACATTACGACAAGCACCGTTTGTATACAGTGCAATTTCGGATCAGTACGATTAGCCCCACCTACAATACAAGAATATTGAAACAAAGATTTGTTATATTTACCTGAATGTATAATAATCAAAGGCCAGGAACTTCACTTACCATATCTAGTTTGTTTTCTTTAAAAAAAAATTCTGAAGTGTCACCTTTTCTTCCAGCCGTTAAAGGTGAAAAGGGCCTTAATCGGCTATATTTTCGTCGAGGAGCCCACTAGGGAAGTAATGGTGCACACTGCGTTCCGGCACTATACAATTCAGTTTTCGCGAGTAAAAATAGTGAAAAAGTTCAAGGATATCACAGCAAAATGTTTCGATTAATAGATGCTGTATCAGTGGTTCACCATTAATACAGATTTTCAGGGAGGGGGGTGGGGGAGGGGAGGGCGATTACTTATGCATAGACCTGTCAAGGTATACTCGATCCTTAAAAGAATTATAAAACCAGAGATTCGAGTAATCTAACCAAGTGACTTCTTTTTTTTTGCAGGTAGCATCCACGTAGAATGGTAACTTCGCAACACGACGGTACCAGAAGTGTCGGCGGCGGCGGCGATGGCGGAGGCGGCGGCGGAGGTGGCGGTGAGGAGACCGTTTACACGGTGACCGTGAGTGGAGTCGGTTATAGGAACGAGGGTTACAAAGACGACGGTACCGACGGTATACCTCCCGAGCCCCAGAAACCACCGCAGTTGTCGTCCACGGACGACGACACCCAGTCCCGGAAGTTCAAGCTTTCACGCGGCGAGAAATGGCGGATCTTAAAGAACATTAGTACCGTGTCGATAGCGTTTATGGTGCAGTTCACCGCGTTCCAAGGCACGGCGAACCTCCAGTCCTCGATAAACGCCAGTGACGGTCTGGGCACCGTGTCCTTATCCGCTATATACGCGGCTCTGGTGCTATCATGCATCTTCGTGCCCACGTTCGTTATCAAGAGGCTCACGGTTAAATGGACGCTATGTTTGTCGATGCTGTGTTACGCGCCGTACATCGGCTCTCAGTTCTATCCGAAATTCTACACCCTGGTGCCGGCCGGTGTCTTATTGGGACTTGGGGCGGCACCAATGTGGGCGGCGAAAGCCACATACCTCACCCAGGTCGGTGGTGTGTACGCGAAGCTCACCGATCAACCCGTCGATGCGATTGTCGTCCGATTCTTCGGGTTCTTCTTCCTTGCATGGCAGACCGCTGAACTTTGGGGCAACCTCATTTCATCCCTTGGTGAGTTATTGTTTTTTATTGTTTCTATGGAAGTTTGCAATCGGTGTTTTATCTATGAAATTTAATACACGTTTAACGGAAACTTACAAGTGAAGGAACGGAAGTGTCCCCCTTTGATTTTGTTGGAACTTTGTATGTCTGTTAAGCAGTCGAAAATAAGGGATGCGTTTTTTTTCTATTTTTTACCACTTTCACATGGACTATAACATATTTCAGTTTGAGCTAAATTCCAGATATTGTGTGCAAAAGTGATCCGCTTGCCGTAGAATCGCCCGTAAAAATCAAATACACACCTCATTTAAAATATTAGATACTACTGTTTTATTATCGCCATAAAGAATGATTTAAAAAATGAAGCATTTTGGGATATTCGCTTATTTGCGTCAGAAGAGAGGTTCGAGGCGAGAGATAGGAATTCAAATTCCGGTAGCAACGTACTTTTTCCTCGTTCCTTTTACAGTTTTTTTCCTTATTGACGTCTTCCTTTCGCTGTACTAATTAATAATACTAACTTACATAAGTTAATTGAATGTCGTCACCGGGCTCACAGATATCAATACAAAAATCTTCGTGTTAGTCAATTAATTAATGAGAGACAGTTATTAACCTACTTAAGATGGTAATTTTTTTTATTACGAAGATCCAAAGTGGCAAAGTGCCATCTCAAAAATGAACAAAAACAAAAGAATGAAGTTTAAAAAAAATACTTTCTTCAACAACCGGTTCTGAATCATCTTCATGTACAGTATTTCATACATATTTAGGAACACTAACTTTTCATTCTGTAAATGAAAACGAACATATTAGTAGCGTATTGGTAGCATTAGTTAAATAGTCATGGTGTACGCTTGGTGTACTTGTTCGATGACGGTCAAATTCCAATCTTCAATCGAAGGCTGAACTTCAAAGAACATAAAAGCACTTTTACGACCGAGACGACCTTTCTGCATGGGCATTTGCAAATCGATTTTATTTACATGTGCACTCTAACGAAGATTTTATGAAAAAAATGTTCGGTGTACTTTCAATGAGATTTCGAGGTCTCCCTGGACTCGCTTAGGGTCCATTTTCTCCGTGTAAATATATAGCGAAACGGTGTCGGCCAAGCGAAAGTTTCCAGGACCTATTTCTTTGACTACAGCCTACTTATCAATATTATAAATCAGCTCTCATTAGATGTACCGTTACACTAAACAGAGTCTTCCTGCGCGGCCATAAACCAAGTTTATCCAAGTCCAAGCGAAATCTCCTTTATTTTAACGATACGTCCATAACCTTTCGCGTAAAAGCCGTTTTCCGGTATATTTATTTATAGCATACTAAATGCTTCCTTTCTAAACAACACAAAACGTTAATAGAGGCGTTTCCGCTGATTAAGATCTTCATCCTCCGCTTCAATAACACTTTCAATGAGAACACGTGTTCTATATTCCAAATCACGTGCCATAATCGAGCGTTTTGGCCGTGCTTCTTGTTCTTCTTATGAATTTATTTAATGAATTCGACAATTCTTTTAATTCCAGAAGCAGAATTCTGTTTTATTTTATTTCTAGAAGCAGAATTCTCTTTTATTTTATTTCGAAAAGTAGAATTCTCTTTTACTTTACTTCTAGAGGCAGGATTCCCTTTTATTTGACTTTCAAAAGCAGAATTCTCGTTTATTTTACTTCCAAAAGTAGAATTCTCTTTTATTTGAATTTCAAAAACAGAATTCTCTTTTATTTTATTTCTAAAAGTAGAATTCTCTTTTATTTGAATTTCAAAAGCAGAATTTTCGTTTATTTTACTTCCAAAAGTAGAATTCTCTTTTATTTGAATTTCAAAAACAGAATTCTCTTTGATTTGATTTCCAAAAGCAGAATTCTCTTTAATTTGGCTTCCAAAAACAGAATTCTCTTTAATTTGGCTTCCAAAAACAGAATTCTCTTTTATTTTATTTCTAAAAGTAGAATTCTCTTTTATTTTACTTCTAGAGGCAGGATCCCCTTTTATTTGACTTTCAAAAGCAGAATTTTCGTTTATTTTACTTCCAAAAGTAGAATTCTCTTTTATTTGAATTTCAAAAACAGAATTCTCTTTGATTTGATTTCCAAAAGCAGAATTCTCTTTAATTTGGCTTCCAAAAACAGAATTCTCTTTAATTTGGCTTCCAAAAACAGAATTCTCTTTTATTTTATTTCTAAAAGTAGAATTCTCTTTTATTTTACTATGAAAAGCAGAATTCTCTTGTATTTTATTTCCAAAAGCAGAATTCACTATTTATTTGTTCACAGTAATCTAGCAAAATTTTGAACTTGTCTAAAGAACTACAGAGTACTTGTACAACCCTAACAAAGTTAAAAACAATGAATCTATAGTTATACGACACAATATTTTCGTTTCATTTCCCGGCAATAATTTCACAAAAAGACCCGACGAGCATCGTGTACGAAGCTCAGACGATATAATCTCGATCGAAACCACGAGAACACGATTAACGACACGGTTCTAAGAAAACTTAAGGGCTTCTTATTTCACTCCTCGGAAACAGATATTCCACAGAACGCAAATCATTCCCTAATTCTTGGGTTACGTTCGGTCGATAAATTAATCTGGGACACGGTTGAACACCACGTGGGTCGAAAGGGGGATCCCTAAGGATGGTGATTTAAAATGCAAATGTCCCCCGGGGGCAACAGTTCGTAGCAAGTAACCCGACGACGAATCTGAATGTATTCAAGATGGGCCTGGTCGTCTCTAGAGTGTAAATAGCCGTTCCTAGAAGAGTGTGCGTCCCTCTCGAGGACGTCCGATCGGTGTCAATATCGTCGTGCGCGTCATAAATTTGGCAGCGATATTCGGCCTAGTCGAAGTGAGGAGCATGGATTATCATACGATCCCGCGATCACACAACGTGTTTCACGCCGTTTTCTTTTTTTGTAAACACTCTGTTGCGACAGAAACATGCATATAGAGGTAATAACGTCGTACGTGGTCAGACAGTCGGGCCAAACATTCGGTCCTATCCCTGCCGAGATCAGCAATAAACCGCGGCATATACCGGGTGGATTCGAAGACATTAGGTGAGAATCATGGACAGATTCTATTAGGGATAAACCGATGCCATCAAGGTATCGATAGTTTTATTTATAAGTTGTATTGAAAAAAAGTATCGATACTAAGGTCAATGTCCCTATTTCTAATTACGTCCCGATTTCTGCTCAGTACGTATATTTGTTATTGAATGTAAGAAGGTAAATAATAAATTAGTTATACAAAACATTATTTAAATTCGTTCAGTATTTCCGTACAAAATGCTACAGCTTGCTGTTCAATAGATGGCAGCATTTTTATAGAAATAAATTTAATAACTGCGTCCGTCGTAAAGAAATGTGATTGAGCGGTTCCGTTGAAATCGTGAGCTACAGGTGGACGCTCCGTTTTTACTAAGAAAAACTTACGCAATCTTTAATATTGTTCGCTAAAGTTCGGTTTTGACATTTCCAATTTTCGGTGAGCAGAAATAGGGACACGCTCGTGAGCAGAAATGCGAGCATTTTCATTTTTACTGAGCAGAAATAGGGACATGTTATACTTCGTATTAAATGAACTATTATTAAGTTAAAATGTTTTTAAAACTTCTATATCTAATACGTTTTTTCGTTGACTGTTGCATAAATAAATAATAAAAATCAATTTCTACGACAACAGAATTCTTACATGATTAAAAATAGGGACATTGCCCGCACTTAGTGTCACATCAAAAGTATCTATATCTACTTAGTGTCACATCAAAAGTATCCATATCTACTTACTGTCGCATCGGAGTATCTATATCTACACTTAGTGTCACACCAAAAGTATCCATATCTACTTAGTGTCGTATCAAAAGTATGGATACCTATTTGTATCGGAGGAAAATGTATGCAAAGTTCTTTTTCATTAATATAATACATTTTAACCGGAGTTGAGCAGAATTTTATTCGTATTTAGAATTTTATCCGACATTTAGTAACGAAATTATACGAAATGTGACAACTAGCCCTGGTCTCCCCTAGTTGTTCCACGTGTTAACGATATATCCTTGCAGAACTTCGAATTCACCCTATATAACACTCGATGCAGGCTCCTCGTGGACGGTTGTTAGGTTCCTAGCGTGTGTCTGACTGACAAACGCCGAAGAAAGACCGAGCAACATCGCGCGGGCATTCTGGCGGAGGTGCGACCGCGACGGAGAACGCTTCGACACGCGGGAAGAAACAAGATTTATCCGGTATAAACCCGTGATAGTCGGTTTCCGTACCACCTCGTACGCATTCCCCCCGATACCGTGCGGCGGTTAACACGCGTTTTAACCGTTTTCTACCGTTCAGATCCCTCGATCTCGCGATGGGAGCCAATCCTCCGGCGGCGCAACGTCCGGTTCTTCTTTCTCGACTCGGACGACACCTGTCGCGGGCGACGATCGTACTTCCTGCATTCCTCGATAGGGATAAACCGATACCATCAACATATCGACATGGGCGTAGCCTGGTTATCAGTCGGGGAGGTGCGGGGGGAATGTTAATACATCGACTGCCACAGTGAAAAAGGCAGTATGTAGCCAGACACACTTTATTTTGTTTTTGGGGGCATAAATCGATGAAAATGTATGCGTTCTGTTAATAGAGACTGTTGGTCGGGTTTCAAATTATACTGAAATATTAAATATTATGAAAGAATTTTGTAATTCTGGGAAGGGCGGAGGGGGGGGGGGTCCTTGCTTCTCTAGCTACACCCTTGAAAGAAGGTCTTGAAAAACTCGTCGTGGAATAGAGAGAGATGAAAGTTCGCGTTCTTGATGATGATAGTATTTACTTTGCATATATAATAAATACAAATCGAATTGATTCCATGTACCGAAGAATATAATATTATGTTGTAATAATTAGTGTTCGATATCTGTAGTAAATAGACGGGTGGAAGAAGTATGTAATTTATTCGTCTTTTCGCAAAGCACTGGGTAAAAAGTAGCTGTAATTTATGAAATTACAAAATGATCGAGTGGTTAATTGAGCGAAAGTGTTCTCATTCTGACGTGCCTTGGTTTAAAGTTTTAATCATAGAAGAACGGCCCCTCGATTTCTTTCGTGTTGCGTCTTAATTATCTTTTCATGACATTTTACCACTGTATCAATTAATTGTTAAAGGATCGTTCAATTTTTAGAACGTTGCGTTTTCTTAAATTCACGGAGAATTCTGTTTTTTAGATTGTTCGCATTAATGAGCTGGAAATATTCGGAAAAATAGACGTAACACCCTATTCAGCTCCATTACAGTAATGTTTTACTGTAATAGCGTTGAAGTATTTAATGTGTTGTATAATTTAGTCGGCAATAGAAGTGGTATGGCGTAACTCATGATAACGAGTCTTATTAAAGATACTAACTTAATGCCTGTAAGTGTACATCGTCAACATGGTACTTAGCCAAAACTGAATTAGCGTAATGAATAGTTAAAAAAAAAGTCGTGTAATTGAAACATAATATGGAATAATTTCCATAATTAATGTAATAACTTTGAATAATTGTACAATTATCTGACTATTTTTTACCCTCATGAGCAAACTCTGCCTTCGCTAGGGGAAAAAGTGGCGTAGGGATAAGGACCTCCTACCACTTCGTAAATTTACTTCAAGTAATGAAATAAATATTCGAATAAATGTTAATTTGATATAAATTTCAGTAACTCCAGAGATCAAGTGATAGGAGGCCATTTCCCTACGACACTTTTTCCCCTAGCGGAAGCCGCGTTTCCACGTCAGTGTACAAATGAATGTTCGATTGAATAACATTTTAGCGAGTTAATGTCGGTGTTTACATTTCCCCGTCGTGGCGCCTGTCAACGTAACAATTTCACGTGGTCTGCCAGGCGCCAACCTCGAGGAAGTCGTCGAACTATTTTAACGGCGCGCGATTTAAATGTCTCGACTCCGCCGGGCCGGGGAGAATTGCGTGCCAGGCACACAAGACAGGACGCAAACACACACACACGAATGGTGAGGGGGGGGACGGCCCCCGTGTATTCGCGGTAGGTAACAAGTCGAATATAATTATGTCCCGATAAGTAGGACTCGTGGACAATCGGAAACGAATGGGTGGGAAAGAACATTGTAAACATACATACTACGATATTATCAACGACGCTCCGGTGAAAGTTTCCTGTCGTTCGCGCTGTCCGATGACCGCGTGTACACACGGATTGGTCAACGTGTTTGGGATTCCAGAATAACCGATACGGATTCGTGTTGGCGACGGCGCGATGTGTACTCGGTGACCGCCGCCATTTGCATATTTGAAAAATGGGATCGTCCGCGAATAACGATGGGGCAAAAAGAGAGAGGCGGCTCGTCGCCTGCTAAAGCAATTTCAGCGTGATTCTTCTTTCCTTTGTTTTCTTTTTTTTATGGAAAACAATCCGTTGATATATTTCCTTCTGTGGTTTCTTGGACGTTTCGTGAACGATAGTCGACGACGTTGTAAAATGTATTTCCTGTTCGAACAGAATTAATTGCGCGGGATATTTTGAAATCGCAGGGTCGACAGCACTGGACGGAAGGGACTAATGAGCGGAGTGGGGCCATTTATACAGATTAAAATTCTTGTGGATTAATTTAGAGAGACTGGGATCGAGTTTATTCACTTTCTTGTGGGTTCTGTCGGGTTCGATGTAAAATGAAAACCCTATTGAACTTTATATTTTTATTGTTACTCGGTTCTTTATCTGAGATTTATGATTTATTATTTAAATAAGTTTCTGTTCATATTTCTGAAATTTTTAATCGTAGGAAATATTGGCGACAAGCAATAAGTAGTGTAAAAATTTAGTCATAGTTTTTCCTATTTCCCTCCTGTCTATTGCTACTAACTCTTCAACTTTATTCTGAAAACCGGTGTCAGCGCAGTAGGGCTTAATTTACAATGTTGTTCCAAATACCTGGTCGGGAACTGGCTGGTATCAGATCAACAAAATATTACGGGACATACTTTCAATGGAAATGTTCAAGCTATGCGTCACCGATAAGAGTATTGCATAATATTCCGTTCTTTCAGCGGACCAGCTACAAAACAGACTTGTAGACCAGGCAGCCGACTCGTTGCTAAAACGAATCATTCTTTGGCAAAGAGAGACGAAATTTTGTTGAAAAAATCCATTAGAAAAGAATATCTTGTACAAGTCCTTAACACATGCAAATTATTGCTAAATATTGACGAACCAGTACACGTGAAATTTCAAGAGAGCTCGAGTCCTCTTAGCAGACAGGAAATCGTACGAGCCAAGACTTACCACAATGTACTTTAACGCGTTACCAGTCCATATATATCTACATTTTATTAACTTTGTTCTGTTGATTTGCATATACAGGGTGAGTCGCCTAACGTTTTCACCTCAAATATCTTTGTTGTTTTTAAAGATACATCAAATCTCTTAAGGACAAAATTGAATGGTTCAATGGGCTCACAGGATGTAAAAAAATTGTTGTTTTTGTCATTTTTTTAGAGATATCAAGATCACCTTCATTTTTTTTAAACGAAACCACTCTTTTTTCCGTGACCTTGAATGACCTCGAATAATTATAGTCACTGAATTCCTAATGAAATTCGACTACCATCGTAGGTGTTTAAAAAAGAGTGATTCCATTTTAAAAAATGAAGGTGACCTTGATATCTCTAAAAAAACGACATAAAAACAAAAATTTGTTGGTATCGTGTGAGCCCCATTGAGCCATTTAACGTTGTCCTTAAGACATTTGACGTGTCTTTAAAAACAACAAAGATATTTGAGGTGCAAACGTTAGGTGACTCACCCTGTATGTCTACATGCTTATATCATAACTTAAGACCCGCGATAACATTAAAACCCCGTTAAAATCGACATCGGACAGTTGGGGTGGTCGTTTCCTTGTAAGGCCCCTTCTGGCCACCCCATGAATCGAACCGTTCCGTTTAGTTTTCAATCGAACCATTTCGTCTCGATTCCAATCGAATCGTTAAGTTTCGTTTTTAATCGAACCACGATCGTTCTCTTTGAATTCCACGCAGTGCTAAGCGAGGGAGAGTTCGGCAGCGGCGGCGGGAACAGCAGCACCAGCTTCAACAAAGTGAAGCTCTGCGGCGCCGATTTCTGCGTCCTTGGGAACGGAGGTCACGACAACCTGGAACGACCGCCGGAGTCCGAGATCTACGAAATTTCAGCGATCTATCTGACTTGTGTAATCGTCGCCGTGATAATCGTCGCTCTGTTCGTCGATCCCCTCTCCAGGTGAGTAGTTGTGTGTTTTCACGTTTCACGTGGCGCGCACGTGCGTGCGTATATTTACCTGGGTCCGATCAAAGCCGGCTTTCCACTCCCTGGCTGACCTTTAATTTTTCATTTCACTAGCGCGCGCGCACGCCGGCGATTAGTGGCGGGTGTGCAACTGTCGGTTGTGTGTATGTGTGCGCGCATGCAGTCCGTAATAATCGTATTTATTGGTTTATTTATACACGGTGACATTCACTGTTGCGTTACGAGGCGCAGTACGGCCGTGAGAAATGAAATTCCATTGGCGGAGGGAGAAGGGGTGGGATAGTGTAACATTGAAAAATCACTTTCTCGAGATTAACAGTTAATAATTCATGCCTGTTTTCTATACTATTTCTCTATGGCTCTTCCGAGTACCGGTGTTACCGAGAATTCACCGCGTCTGGTTCAATAACATTAATCAGTTATCTGGATGTTATGTAGTTAATAATTCATAGCCAGTTACTTGAACATGTTTCTCTTTTTCTGTCTAATATTGCTTGTTGCCGAGAATTTATTCTATGGCTCGTTAAGATTGATCAGTTTCCAGGTATTTGTATAGTTAATAATTCATACCTGTCGTTTACTTGATTTTATTTACATTTATCTCTCTCCTATGAACATTTTTGTTAACCCTTTCGTTACAACTATTGCCATGTTGCTATGTACTCTCAATTACGAAATACATGTTAATATCGTGTATTTTTTCATATCTGTGAGTGTGTAATAGTTTCTTCTAGTCTTGTATAGGCGGCATGACCGAAAGTTGAATTTGCATTTAAAAGCTTACCGGCAAAATAAAACATTATTGGTTCTTTGTCTCATTCATTTGATGGAATTCGAGTGTTGAGTATTGTTACAGATACAATAGAAACTAACAAAACTGTAATTTTTGTTAAATATGTCAAGAGGGTCAAAGGTAAGAAAAAGTGGGTTTTATTACGTATAATGACGAACAATTATATATAATTGTGATAAAAAAAAGTTTTCAACTGGCAACGAATGCAAAATTGATTAGACGGTTACAAAATGTTGAAATGTTCTTGTGAATCATTTATATATCATCCAATGCACACAGAAATACAACAAAATATTTTTTTGGTAATTTTTAAATAATTTTGGAATGATCAATTGAGATTGATTTCAGGCATTCTGTAGTTAAACGTGGTTGCAGTCGATTTTGATTTCTGTGTCATTAAAAATAATGATAATCAAGACTTTATGGTACAGTTTAATGGAATACTTATTATACCATTTGTCGAAAAAATTTCTGGATATTGTATGGTTGACACTTTGCTGTCACACTCTGCTTAGGTTTCTATATGTATGTGTTCCTACCTCCGAATGTTGGTTTAATCAAGAATTATTTTATACAATTTAATAACACTACAATGTTTATAGATTTTTCATGATGGACAATCAGCAGCAACATTCTAATTTTTTCAACATTTTATTACTTTTGAAAAGATGCTATGACCAGTACTTATTTTATTGATTCAATACTATTCAGAAAGAAACACTTTCTAAGTGTTCTACAGTTGACAATGTTTGACAGTTTTGTTTTATTTAAATACCGTACTGACTCATTCATTGTTCAATTTACGTATCAGCACAATCTGTAAAAATTCCTTGTACAATGCTAACACGGAAATATTATTGTCTAATTAGTTGTAATATGTAATTCAAAGTCGCATGACTTTCATACAATCTTCTGTTTGGCTTTGTGTCACTTGTTCTGTTCAATTCACAGCTAGACATATTTTTTGACATCAAAATCAGTTTCGTAGTGTTGACGAACGTACAGTGGAAATTTTATAAAGAATCAACTTATTAAAAACAGAAAGTTGTGTTCTTATTAGCAATACAATTAACAATTAATATTGCATTATAATGTTACGTCAGTGTTAATCAGAAGTTCGTGACGTCGTATTTCCTTGTCGTCTTCCGGTCAATTGGTAAATATCAAATAATGCAACACAATTTTCCTTCTGTCATCTTTCCAAAACTGCATCTTATGTAATTATTTCATGCAAATTAATTGGGACACTTTAACAATTTTTTAACACTTTCGTATAAATTATAATTCGTAAGCAACCGTCAATTCTGCAAGGTCGAAAAATTAATGTGTGTGTGTGTGTAATCAACTTGAATCGCGATGAGTGCGAAGACGAATCTCTTCCGAGAAGATTGTTCCTCCAAAGTCGCTTCAGTTTAATGTAAATATTTAATATCGCTGAGTCACCTTCTTATAGACTCCAGAAAATCGTCTGTAGTATTTAACGTGGATTAACTAACCTTCTGTTTATTGTCGCGGCGAAACGCTCGAAACGCCTCTGGCAGGTTGAAAGTTGTTTCAAGTTAAACAAATATCTGGACGTGAAATGGACGATTGCTGAAACCACCTGGTGAAACTCTGTATTTTTCCGTTTCCGTTATTAGAACTTCGTCGTCGGTGTTTTCAGCTCATTAACCCCATTATTGGGATCTTCAATTTGTCCTACATAAATAACGTTTTTTACTACTGAATAACGTGATGGAAAATTACGAAAACCATACATGCATGTATATAACTGCTTATTTTTTTCGTGACAGAAAAACATTCGATTTCGACATTCGACACGTAGATTGAAATTTTATGCGTTGATCGTAGTTTAGCGCGACAAACTGGCGGCCAACCCGTCCGTTTAAAATTGAGACGTCAATAACAGTTTAAATTTGTTCTTTTTCAACAATTACGTATAAAGATGTTACGAATGTACATTTATGACAATCGTGCGTCTCATTTGCATTATCACATTTGATCGTTTAACGGGTGTAACTAACGCGCAAACAGCGTACGTACCTCACACGTGTGTTTACGTTTGAAAATTGTAGATAAAAATTTTATACTTCGATACAGCTTGTTATTAACAACTTCTGGAGTAATTATATCAATCACAGAATATTTATGTAATTTTCAGAATAGAATTCCAGCGTAAAGAGTACATACATCATTCAATTTTTACAGTTTATTAGTTTTTCGATAGGGTAAACCAACCAGTAATTGACTGCATACCAATGAACGACCATTAGGCTAAAAAATGAGTACAATTCTTATTAAAAATATTTCAGAAATGTAGCAGTCATTTACTGAGCTTTTACATGTTTTGCACTTTATAAATAATTTTTTTTAAAAGTACGATAGAATAAGTAATTATTTTTATAAAAATTTCAAGAAAAAGTAACTGCAATTTTGACAGCTGTTTTGTTGTTATAAATAAATATATTTAAGTATTAATCTCAAACGTTCATAAATTCAACAATTCGTTCATTCACTGGTTGGTTCACCCTAGTCTCGATTTAATGGATTAAACTTTAAGAATTAGAATGATAGAAAATTGTCGTATTGAGTGTTTGTGGAGGGAATAAATTACTACAGAATATACAAATGTACATCCACAATCTACGTTTGATTTCTAAAAACGAACTCAAAACAGATTTTTAACAAAACATTGAAAATCTGTTGCAATTTACCCAATCCTATCATTTTGATCAATTTGAGAGAAAAACTTAGGTACTAAATAATAGATTTTCACTGTTTGAAGTAAGGAATCGATATGTGCCCCAACTATCTACATTTTCTCTTTCCTTTAACAATTTTACTTTTTCCATATGTGTCGACGATCGTAATTACCGAGTCGTTATTTTAACGTTTACTTTCTTCCCGAACATTTGTCACGCGATATGTGAACAGAGACAGAATCGGTAATGTCGTTCGTGTGTACGACAAACACGAGAGATAATGAGTCATTATTAATGACGCAAACGGCGTAAAGCACGCCAAAAATGTTGATATCTTCATACTCGCGCGTCAATACGGTCCGGGCGATAACAGTCACGAAATGTACGAGATCACGAACGAAATTTATTTCTTCCGCAATAATTATCCTGCGTCTATAATTTATCCGTGTCCCCGCGTTTGAATCACCGCCCGACACTTCGACACAATTGATCGTCGGTAGTAAATTTCATTCGCGTTCATTATTTCACGCCAACAGAACCCCGTGATTCATGTCGCGGCCGTTATTTGTTTTGTTTTCGGTTCCTTTTTTTTTCTCTCTTTTTTTTGTTCACGGACGCTTCCATAAATTAACGGAATAAATGTTTTCGGCGGTGAGGAATTAAGGTGTGCTCACCTTCGTAAAGTAAACAAAGGTCTGTTTGCGTACTTCGTGAAAGAAAGAGAGAGAAAAAAATAAACGTCATGCCTTCGGTCAATATTGACATTGGATCGTAATTATGAATTTGTGCACGGCCTTGGATTAAAATTAAACGTTTCGTTTCATTTGTTTTCGATGCACCGTCGTGTATGCGGGTTGAATTGAACGTCGACGAGTTTATCCGTTTCTGTAAAACGTCGTGAAAGGAAATAATCCCTGGGAATTATACTTTGAGTACCGTAGCATTTGGGGTGTTTAATAAATTCGTCCTGTTTATTCGACTGCCCGATAGTAAAGAGGAATTAAACGGAAATTTGTTTCTGTATTAAAGGTTTTCGAAAGTTGAACGTGATCAGTGTGTAAAATCTTCGTTCAAGGTTTTTATTGTATCTTTTACAGGCTGTTTATATTGACTGGACCATTCGAGACAAGTGGATTTCTTTATTTCATTTTTCACCGAACGTATATATATTTGTGTTTATCAAGTGTATCAACAAATATATAATATCGTTGTTCTTAATAAACTAACTTCAAATTTAAGACATTTGAAAACCAGAATGAATACTGTTAAGTTAAAACAACACAGATACTGAATTTCTTATTGGTACAAATAATAACACCAGTTTTTATAAAAAAACTTACTAATATAATAGAGCCTCCCTTATCCGAACATCCATTATCCGAATACCGTAATATTGGAACGTTCTGTTATCCTCTGTTTCAATATGTCTCCCCTTGTAAAAATGTAGTGTTTACACAAAATATACATATACTGTATTT